GATACGGAAAAACATATTAGTGCTATTTAATCATTATCTCAAATGGCTTTTTGTTGTTCCTTGAAATTTCAGACAACATGTGTACCTTCATGATGGTGCTGTACATATTTTTGGCCTGTCCACTCACATTATTTAAATCTTACTGAATTTCTAGTGTATTTCTGGGCATAAGCTTAAATCATTTCCTTTTCCCAAAAGCCAAGTTACTTTGTCATTGTGCAGGGTGGCTATTCCTGTTTTTCTTAATCTTTCAGGACAAAAATTACACTCATCTCAGATTTGAAGCATGAGTATTTAAAAACTCTTCTGCTCCACTTCAAATTGAGGTTTAAGATTGTGTTTAGTGTTTGCTCATTAAATGTGAGCTAATAGCAAGTTTGCGGAGAAGTTGCTCTACTCCCTAAAAATGGATTTTTTTTCCTGAATTCCACCCAAAGCATTCAGAAATAAACTACAGAGGGATAACCAAAGAACCCAGAGTCGCATTAGCTTCCCACAGTCACCAATAAAAGGATGCTGGCAATACACCACACTAAGAGTGGCAAACACCAAATTCTGCAGCAGCAGCAGTCCTGCTCATACCGCAGTTCCCTGAACACGGCTGTTCTCAGTTTTAAGCTGCAGACGGCTGCCCATTGCATTCCCCCCTAGTCCAGGGGTTGCTCCGAGTTGCCAGTTGCAGAACGTCTGTTGCTCCAAGATTAAAGCTGAGGGGCAGTTTACTTAAAGCCTAATTGTTTTATCTGGGGAGACTTCAGCCGTTTACAGAAGAAGATTTTTTGAAGTCGTTGCTGAGTGTCAGGGAGAGCTGCTTATAAATCCCAAGCGCTCTCAGTGCTGCAGCCATCTTAGTAAATTCTGAATTAAAATAAGCATTAACTTCAGGAAGCCAAAGGAGATTTAAATATTTGGGGCAGCTGACAATTACCGGGATACACATTTTTGAAACTTTTCTCCCTTTGGGAACTGCAGAGAGTTTATCATCCAATTGTGTAATTTAGTGTGTAAACAAATTACACTAAAAATAATAAATTTTGTTTAACTAAGTGAAAGTTTCCAGCATTAAACCTGATGATTTGTCCCATGTGTTTTTTTAAAAAAGTAGTTATTTGTAATTAGCTTGCACTTTGTGCCTTTCTCCATAGTTCTGGAATGGGTTCATGTGCAGGAACCCTTCCCAGTTGTTCTTTATCACAGAGCTCGGCTGCGGCAGCGCGGAGAGGCCGGTGCTGCATCCAGGGAGGTACCTGCAGCACGTGAAGGGCAGCTCTGCCCGAGCCCTCCTGCCCTCTCGGGGTTTGCAGGTGTTGAGGAAGGTTCTTGTGAACATGGTGCCATTTCAGGAGCTTTTAAGAAGGCTCATAGGATTTAAGGCTGGATTTTTTTATTTCAGCATAAAGCTTCTCAAGATAGCAGGATGTTTTCCAGATCTGCTGACATTTAAATTCTGTGTGTGATGTTTTCTAGCGCAAAAAAAAAGGAACTGTCAGATGAGAGAGTAAATTAGTAAGTTTATAGTCAAAACGTAGGCATAAAAATGTGTTAAGTTTTAGATTACATGATCTAACAATACAGTCTTCTAAGTTTTATTAGTCACTGTCCCTTCCAGGAGACCCCTTGTGTATTTATGGTTTATCTGGCTCAACACATGGCAGAAATGTTGTGTTCTCCTTAGAATTTGACATACCAGAAAACTTTTCTAGTTTGAAACGTGCATGAAAGAACAGACATGTACTTTTGTATGCATGCAGCCAACTTCAAGTCTTTAGTTTCTCAATTAACTGAAAAATATGTCCTCATGCAGGGAAGCTGAATTAACGCTAGTAAGAGCGAAACGCAACTGTCTCTGTGATCTGCTGCAAGTGACCAGACCACAGCTGGTAGCCAAGGTAAAGCATGGGATTGTGCTCTTCATATATATACATATATATATATGTATATATATATATATTTTAAGAAACATTGTTCCACCACACACACTGGGTACTTCTGTGCACCACATGCTGTTCTTCACCAGTTCATGAATAAATGAATGTGTGCCCAGAGAAATGTCCTCAAAACTAACTACAGGATATATGGAGTTGCCGAAGACCGTGCTCTTAAACCCTTCCAGTTTTATTTCCCAAAAACATTCCAGACTTGCGGTGCGACATCTTACTCAGACAAAATGGAAGAAAGCAGTAACACAGCACAGATGTTTCAGTGACCGTTTGTCTTGTCTTTTTGGGCAGACACTGCCCAATGGTGCTAGGATGCTCCTGAGGAGAAAGGCAATATATTCATAAACAGATCCTTTTTCCTTTTATTACAGGTGTTTTGGATTGCCCATAAGTGAAATATTTTTTTTAAGACTACATAATTTTCTGCTTTGATAAGAATTCCTCTGAGAGGTTCCTGTCTCCTGTGTTCAAAGAGGGGAAGGCTCAATAAGCAAGACAAACAGCATGGAGGGAAAATAATTAAATAGGTTTTGCCACATTTCATCTCTTAAGCCCTTAATAATTCTTAGGAACTGGGTGTGTTTGGTATTACATTACGTGAGACTTCAAGGTCAGTCAGTTCTTCCTGTTTAATATTAATATTCTGATAATCCTTTAAAAGAAAGATGTTTCCTAATGTAAATCCTATGTTTTCCCTTATCATGGCTCTAAAAAAAAATACATACAAAAAATATATGCAGTTAAAGCCATATATGAATAAGCTTCAAAGACAACGTGTTCTTCAGTTTCTTCACCTCTCTTCCCAGTTCTTACAGGATCATTTCTGCAGTTTTCTGGTTTTAGTTTAAATTTAAATTAAAAAAGCCCAAAATCTGTGCCTGACATTTTTAATTTTATGAAATAAGAAACTTCTCACTCATCCACACCATTCTTATTTAGAGCAAAAATTGACCTAAGTATTCCCTCTCAAATTAATAAAACCTAGTTTTTCTAGTCAACTAATAGAAATATTATGTTCAAAATGAAGACATTACATGATTATTTCACTGATCTCAAAAACATATTCCATCACCTTAATCTTGAAATGGAGACTGAGAAAAAGCTGACAAGTGAAAAGAAAATGATAAAATATATAATACATCCTAATACCTATATATAAAATACACCCTAATAGCCATACATGCAGGTATTTTGGATGGAATTGTTACTAATAATGAGAAATCTGGGAAGTTCTGTGGCTGAAGGTGGTTCTTGACCTTTTACTCCTCTTTCAGCATGAGCAAACAGTAGTAAAGTGCTAAAGCCAGGCGGGCCGGGACCCGGGCCCTGCCGTAGAGGGGGGACGCGGAGCCCGGGGTGCCCCGCGCTCGGGTGCCCCGCGTCGCCCCTGCTCCCTCGGGAGCGCAGGTACCCTAAGAGCAGAGGAGAAGCAGCAGAGTAGAGAAGACCGAGCGTTACAATATGAAAAGGTAAATAAAGCTCGTTTCAGCTGAAATCAGCACTTACAAAATTCCTTTAAAACTTGCACAAATAGAATTTATTTAGGGGTAGTAAAAAAAAGAAAAAAGGACTGTAAAAATAACTTCATATTCTTACATTTTCATCTCCATTTAGTTCATTTCATCACAGTTGAGGTAATGATAAAATACTGGTGTTCACCGCTCCCTGTGACCATGTCTTTTCTCTCTGCCTCTTGCAGGGCTCGGCGTGATGCAGCTGCTGGCCCCGGCTGCTGCTTTGCAGACCGGAGCTCTTGGTTCAGGGGCCGTCCTGGAACTGAACGAGTTTGAGCTGCGGCATCGTGATGGGGTGGCTTGTCAGCGTGAAGGGAACCGTTCAGCAAGATCAGAGCAGGGAATATGTTTTAAAGTGTTGTGCAGCTCTGCCATATGAAGACCATAAAGATTTGGATATTTTTGTTTTTAAATTCATTGTTGGTAGCCACAAGATGGCAGTTCGTCTTCGTACTGCTGTCAGAGCTGCCCTGCTTTTTCGATGGCAGTGATTTTCACCTCCAGCTCTGAATGGAGCCATTCAACCTGTGCTTGCCCAAATGTAGCACCGTTGCTGTACACACGTGGCCTATTAAACCTGACTTGCTTCGTCACCCTCGTAAAAGAATCCTTTTTTCAGGGCAAGACTGGTGACACTTAGCGATGATGAAACTTGCTGAAGATGAAGTATCCCTGTGGTGAGGTCTGTCACTCTTAGGTCATAGACAAACAAAAATATCCAGACTTCACTTCATCAAAAGTCAAAGTCAAAGCCTCTTTTAATAGCTCTTTAATGTGACCCATTTAAGCAAATGTCTGTGTGTCAAACTAGCTTTAGAGACTCAAGCTTCATTTTTCCCCTTGAAGACTTACAAGGGTGATGAATCAGCTCCTCAAGCAACTGCTAAGAGTTTAGCTCATTCCTTACTGACTACAAAAGGAAGTGGCTCTAGCAGTAGGGCTCATAACACTTATCTTTAATAAGACGGATGTGACTGCAGGGCAAATGCACAGGTGAGATGAAGCTGTAATTATACCTGGTTATTGGATGGTTATAATTAAACCCCACTGTCCCAGCCCTTCGTATAGAACAACAGTTGTGTGTATATATATATATATATACACACACACACATACACATATGCACATTTGAAAGAAAGAAAAAAATCAGGAAGAAGAACTAAAAATGAGCCAGTTGCTGGGTTGTTGAAGGCTGAAGTTTGCAGTAGTCTTCTGACGTAGGAGCTCCTTTCCAAAACCATAACGGGTCTTACTGTTGAGGTTCTTGTTGCTTTTCAAGCGACCAACTATAAATGACAGCTTATATTACTCAAACTTGTCTTAAAGGGTACTTGCATCCTGGCTTAGAAGATGAAATTCTGTGTAGATCAGAGTAAAATTATGCACATAAAAGTGAAAAATAGCATTTAAGTTCCATCCCTTCACATATCCACCAACTTTGGGTCTTGCTTGATGTTTTTAATGCTTCTTGGGCTAACAGGTACCTTGGAATCTAAGGGCCTGAATTTGGTAGTTACGTAAATCGGAAATACAACTCGGCAACCAAACTGAGTTTAATAAATGAGCTGTGTACAATAGTAATGAGAACAAATACCATGTAACTGTGTCCTCCCTTAAGGGGTTCATCAGAACAAAGATTAAATTAGTGAAACACAAATAGCTAGAAAATTTCCAAGCCTCTGAATACTTTGGTCATCCCACACACAGAGATAGACGGTCGCTTCAGGGTCACTTAGTTGAAGTGATAATAATCCACTCCTTCCTTCAAGTTCAGCGTGTTTAAGTTTTCTTCAAATGCTCCACCTGTCAAATCCTATGGGGAAGAGAAGAGCATTGGATCAAGCAGACAAACTCATTTCAAGTCATTGCCAGCTTTCACTAATTTGCCTCTTTAGACCACAAAAAAGTCCTATTTGCAGAGCTAAATGTAAATAGGCGAGAGTTGAGAGATGTTTTCATACAAAAATTAAGTGTATGCCAAGAAATTAGTGTTCAAATTAAAATGTTTGGCGAGTTCATTGACACTGTCAGCAGGAGAACACGGCAGGTTTGCACCAGGAGCCATCAAGCAAGCCTCAATACTTGCTCTGGGGTGGGTTTGAATGCGTGAAATATAGCCAGGTAGCAGCAGAATCAGGCCTGTGAGCTGTGTCTCTGGTGCTCTGAGGAACTGGAGCTTTGTTGCTCTTCTGAAGTGGCATCTTCCAGAAACACCAGTTCTAATTACAAAACAAACCAACCTGTTACCTCTAAACCTCTTTCCTTTTGCTTTAATTTATAAGTGAAAAGAACCGGTGCGTATGTGTGTCTCAAGTCTCTTGCCCAACCCAAGCTGTGGTGCCTCAAGCCCACAGAGCAGTTCCACCTTCTCCTGTGCCATGCTCACCTACCTGCCACCTTCTGCCATTTTCACTGGCAATGCCCAAAACAAAAACACACACAAAGATCTTCAGATCCTCAACAGAAACATTACTACCAGGTTTAGAGTTAATATTTGAGCTCTGATACTTACTGATCCTAAAAACGGTACAATAAAAACCAATGCAGGGTTTGGAAAAGGGCAGAAAAGGTCCCATGGCAATGAAATGTTTAAGACGGCTTCACTTATCGGTGGTCACCAGTTATCTGAGAGCGGAGGCCTCTGGTTGTGAAAGATGTTGAGTGCCATTTCAGCTGCTTGAGTCAAGCATCCTTGACTCTGCTTTGAAGGAGCGGGTCCAGGCTGTGCACGTCAGGCCTGTCCCTGGGCCCGTGCGACGTGTGCCCGGCGCCGCAGCAGGGAGGGCCACTCCGACACACGGGCGAGCTCGTGGCCTCGCTAATGGTTTCATCCATCCTGCATTGCCCAAGTCAGGTCATAGGGGACAGCCCTGTTATTTTTTTCAGCAAGTTAATCCACCTGCTCTAAAGAAGGGTTACGAAACAAAAAAATAAAAAGAGCCCAGATGCTACACTAAGTTGGCTCATTAAAACCGAATCTTTCATTCCCAGAACACAGGAGAGAGGTGACAGAACAAGGCAGTGTTTTACTGTAAGAAGTGGTCTAACAGTAAATTCACTTCATACAATCAAACTAGTTTAATTAGTGGGACGGAAAGTAGAAAATCCCTTTCAATTCAAGCACTTGGACTCCAAGCCAAAACAGGTTACAAGCAGCGATTTCCAAGGATTTTGCTTTCACCTCAACAGAGCACGAATACACAATGCAGACCCATGGGTGAGGTGGTCTTGGAGGCTGCAAGACGATTTTGATGAGCTAAAACTGTGATTTTAGTCTCTGGGTGAAAAAAACATGAACACACACACACAGAAGCACTTCCTCAGCAGCAGATCAGCTACAGCCCTGTAAAAAGCTTCTTGCAAATTAAGCAAAAAATCAGTATGATAATGTGTTTGTTTCTTTTTTTTTTTCCAAAAATTATTCAGTGACAAAGTAATACAGAAGCCAACAAGAAAACTGCATGGAATAAAAATGAAATGAAATGAAATGAAATGAAAACAAATGCAAACAGTATGTGGCGATCAGAGCTGTTTCTTGCAAAAAACATTTAATAAACATAGCTAATCTTCAAAAAAATAGAGTTTTTAAACTGCATATTTTTAAGAAGTTTAAAATGTGCACTGGAAATAGTCGCCTACCACGAGGATAGCAAAAGGCA